TTTCATTTGATTTGGAGACTGAGATTATGCGTTATAATTTCTGTTAATTGGATCTTTGCAGTTTAATATGAGTTATATTACTTGGGGTTTGAATTTATATATATTTCCTTTGCATTCATTAAAATTATCTTATCTGGCGCGTTGTTAGATTTTATGATTGAGATGTATTGCAATTGAGTGTCTCCGTGAGCATTCTTTGAGAGGGAAACAAGTTTTATTAACTCAATTTAAATTGCACATCAAGTGGTTTTTTAAAAGTGGCTAAATAACTTGATTACTATCTAGCGTTTAGGGTAGTTAAGTATTGAGTTTACTTGACCCAAACCGTGTTTGGGGTTGTTTTTTTTAACTTGGTGCATTATGTTACTCCCATATCTTATTAAGTAAGGATAGCTACATTCCGTTGTCAAGAAGCATTCTCATTACTGATTTTCTAAAATTCAATTTTTCATTTTTCATTCTTTTTTTATTAAAAATATCCAAAAAAATAGTTTAGATTTATTTCTTATTTTCATAATTAGTTTTATTAATTGAAAAATCCTTTTTTCAACCCCCCCTTTTTATTCTTTGTCACTTAGTTAACTTAGGAATTAATAAAAGGCTCCTCAAGAGACTCGACCCGAGTTGTGCTTTACTACATAATTTGGTTTTTATTTTTGATTTAACCCAAGGCGACTAAAAAGGTTCAAATCAGTCAACTTTCTCTTTATAACTTCTGCTGCAAGGACAAAATGAGGGAAAGTTGAAACATCCTTACTTTAAGCTCTCAGAGTATGCATTTGGAAGCGTTACGGTTCAAGTGATTCACAAAATAAGCCTGTAGATTGAACTTTGTAATTGGTTCTCAAGTTACTGTTTATTGGTTAAATTTCAGATTTTTCAGTCCAACTTTGAGCAATCATAACTCTTAGCGCACACATCCGTCTTAAGTGATCTGCCACTTGTTTTAAAACTCAGGATTTGTATTTTAATCATGCCAAATTTCATGAGCAGAGTCAATCATTTGCCATACTGCTACTCTGTCACTATTTTGTTGCTCAATTAGGGATAGCTTATCCCCTAACTTGCACTAATAGTTCATGATTAAAACTTTCCATACATAATACCATTCCATTCATACACTAACCATTCCCATACATTATGATAACTAATTACACAAGCCAACATCATCATTTATCATCACATACCATCAATGGCACATTTACAACATACATCAGTATATACGGTGTAAAATGTGATACAACAAATTTCCCCAAATCTTTTCTTCTTTCCTTGCTTCCCCTTCATGTATCCTTCGCTTGATCATATCACCTATTATGGTTGGTTAAGGGAGGGTGAGATTCAGGAGAATGTCAGTAGCAAACAATAACCACCCCAAACATACATGGTAAGCTTGACATTTATAACATGCTTGTAACTTAACATCTTTATAACATAATGACACATTTGGAAATCATCATGCATTTATCATAAAACACATAGGCCTATGGCATATTTCAAACACATTCACAATCACAACACATGAGTTCATAAAATCATATAACATAGAAACATGTCATACATGCAAGCAAATACCAAGCATAAAAGAGTAAGGTCAAGTTTGCTACCTTGTGTCCTTAAACTTTCTTCTTACTCCCTTTTGTTTCCAACCATTAAAGTTGCTTGCTCAACCCTATTTAAACCTTCTCTTGGATGCTTCAAGGTCCTAATCACAGTTACAAGGGTTACATTACTCATTAGGACCAAGAATTACACAATATGGAAGACTCAAGTCCTTAAACTTAATCCCTTTTTCCTTAATTTATAATGTAGTGTTCTAGCTTTATAAAAATTGTTCCCTTAGGCTAATCCTTCACAATTTTGCCAAGGAATCCAAATATGAGCTTAGATTCATCAAACTCCAATTCCTTCCCCTGGTTCTAGGCCAAAAATGAAATCTGCCACTAAATTTTTAGTTTTGATTTTGATGCTTCCAACTTCATTCTTTCATCTTATCCCTACACAATTTTTCATTTTAAACACATTGAAAGCATCAAAATCATCAAAATCAAATCCTAGGCACAAGAACCAGGTCTAGCCGAAAATAGTACTCAAGTTACTCAATCATGAAATTCAACCAATTTTAGCAAAAAAACCACCTGATTCGTGTTCCTTTCAAGCCATTGAACATTAATCTAACATCAATTTCATCTTCCCCTATCCTTAACAATTTCGTGTAGCACCTCCCCCAAGGGTTCCAAGCTCCCACAAATCATTAAAATCCATAACCAAGCTCAACAACAACAAGAGTAGTGAAAACTACATCAGAAACCATAAACATACCTTGTTTTAGAGCTTGATCTTGCATGGGACCACTTGGCCTTTCTTTCTCTCTCTTCTTTCTCTTTCTAGAAACCATTTTTCCAGAGCTTTCCCAAGGTTTCCATGATCTTGGACAAAATGAGCGGGAGGGGAGGGGGTATTTATAGAAAATAAAACTGAATATGGGCCGTTGATCTTAAAATTGTGTGGCTTGATTTGGACCGTCCATTTTCTCTTTTGATCCTGCGGTGACAAGTGTCCTATGACATCATGCATACCTCATCATGATGACATCATGCTTACATTATCAAGCCACATGTCTTGCATCCAACCGTACACGTGTCTTGCATCCAGCCGTACACGTAATACCTTCCATCTAACTGTACACTTGTCTCTTTCATTTTCCTTCATCATTAAGGCATTAAAATAGGGAGGAAATTGATATAAAATTCGTGTAAAATACCACCCTTAGGCATTCCTCCACCTATCTTACCATTCTGCACCGTATAGGATACTTTTTCAGGTCCTGACTTTCCCGGGACCACTGGGGCATGTTCTGGTACTATTTTCTCACCCCAAATAAATCCACATGGCATTATATAACATTGTCAAAGAGTGAGTGATGCTCTTCCCTTGTTCGTCCATTAAAATAATTAAAATAATTAATAATATTTATTTCGGGGTGATCTTGACCGAATTCTTTCTACTGGTCCACAACTCCGAGAATCTATCTCCGGGTACCAATACTATTCATTTATCACGGGGAATTCCTCTAATTTTTCTTAAGTCAAAAGTCAACCTCTAGACATTTAACTTTGACTTTCCCCAGATAGCATGTAAATATGCTTTAAATTCCATTAAAGCCAATCTCTTCGCTCTTTAGGGACAGAATTATTTTTAAAACATGTGATAATTCCTCAAGTATTTTCTCCCATTTTCTTCCAGTTATCTGAGGCCTCCCTATACTTTAAATAATTCATTTTCAATAATATTCAAAATCAATCAAAACCCTGGGAATTCCACAAATTCTTTCTAGGGGCATTTTCGTCATTTTTAGCCTCATACAAGCCTCTGAACCTTATTCCTATTTTTTTCAGAATTTTTCTGAAGTGTTCAGACCTTAACCTACCATTCCCTTTTTTTTGGGGATTTTTCTGAGATTTTCGGGCATAATTTTTATTTTTACCCCTCCCAGCCTGAAACTTTACAAAATTACAGTTTTGCCCCTGATTTGTCTTAACCTCAAAATTCACCTCACTGAGGGCTCCAACATAACCTTTGGCCTACATTCATCTCTATTTCTTATTCTTGGGCCTCAAGACTTCTTCTGAGTCTCTAACTTTCTCTTTTTTCAATCCCAAAAAACTTTCCTTTTACGATTTAGTCACTGGGAATCCTTTTGTCCTTCCAGGAAATATCTGGGATCTCTGCCAAAAGGGGTTTAATAGCCTCCCAATTCAGGCTAATTTTAGTACTTCTAGGCCTAAAATTTGGGATGTGATAGAAGTGAAGGAGTTGCTAATGTGTTTTATGAATGGAGAAAGAATCAAGGGAGATTTGCAATAAAGTCTCGTGATAGTAGGAACAGATTTGCAAAAAAGTCTGGTAACAAGTAAGCATCTCATGACAAATGTTAGAATAAAAAATGACAACTGGTTTTAACTGCTCACTTGTCATTATGATTTTTTAAATAATTATTTTTTGGTAGACTTAACTGTAATTCTCCCAAAAAATAATTCATTCAGTTGGTCTCAGAAATAAAATACAGCACCGAAAACTTTTCTCATTGCAATTTCTTGGCCGAAAATGGAAAAAACAGCTGCTCTTGCCGTCTGGATCCGATTAGGCACATCTTGGACAACATAATTTGGGCTTAGCAAGGCCGAATTTTGCTTTTGCATTTGGGACAGTGGATTTGCTATGTTACCCTATTTTAATCCATGCTTGAGTACTAAATAAATTCCAGAAATTGATCCTTAATACTTTCAAAAGATTTCTTTTGCCAACTATAAAATTTTTCTTAATTATCTTCTCTGCAGTATAAAGTAATTTCTCTAGAATTTTCTGTCAAACAATAACCTCCAGCTATATTCTTATGTTTTTTCTTGCTTCCTTCTTGTTCAATATATGGTTGATTCTTTGTTTGGCATCATGATTAAAATTACTTGTAAGCAAATTTTACATAAGCATAAAAAAAACTCTTCTCACATACTTATCTTATATTTTGTAAATCAGAATTAAAAAGCTGCTCATAAGTTATTCTAAATAGGCTCTAAATGGCCACGTGATCATTTAACTTGTATATGTGCGCGCCACATATGTATAAGGCCAATTGTGGATCTAAACGGTTTGAACTTTGGTGACTAACTTTTAAACCGTAGTTAATTATAGATATCAATACATAGACAAAAATAAAGTATAAGGACTACATTAAAAAAAAAAAAAAAAAAGCTAAATTACACGGATTTATAGATTGATTTTCTGAATTAATGAAGAAAGTAAGGGAAGAGTGTCAGAGTTTCTTGAGTAGTCATGCAAACTTTGTGAACAGTAAAATAAAGAAAGTTGACAAATTTCAAGTTTCCGATTAGTGTTACATATGCAAAACAACTAATGAACTGCCTTCATGATCACAAACTAGATTACCAAAGGATCAGCATAAAAAGCGATGCCGAAGCAAGATATTACTCTTGGACATTTCATTCGTAGAAGACCTCTCTTATTCCACTTCCAGGAGTAAAGAAGGCAGGTTCTCTTGGATTTTGCAATTCAATCCACAGATTGCTCAGATGGAAAACAACGTTAGACATCGTAGGTCTATCATTTGGATCAGCTTGAACACATAATAACCCAATCTGCAGACATTTTATGATTTCATTTTCTGAATAAGATCCTCTCATCAGATATGGGTCCAATATTTCAAGTGGTGTCCCATTCTGCCATTGTTTCCAAGCCTACAACAATTTGCAAAATAACATACTCATCAATACTGCTCTAATTAGATACTTGAAACGAGTTCTGAAAAGGGAAAACAAAGTGGTTGGACTTAATACTCACATGACTTAAGAGGTGTGGTTCATTGGAGCTGCCGTTTCTCCTGCCACTAATTATCTCCAGAATTATAACACCAAAACTGAAAATATCTGATTTTTCCGAAAATTTTCCATACATTACATATTCAGGAGCCATATAGCCACTGCATTTATATAATAATATCAAATTAGTTTAATATTTAAAACATATAAGACTTAAGATGTATCTAGTATCCTGAAGTATTTATTCATGTGCATCTAGCACCCGAAAGTATTTTCCAGTGCATCCATCACTCCAAAGTATTTTGCGATGCATCTAGCACCCCAAAATATTTTTTAGGTACATCCAGTACCTCGAAGTTTTTTTTTTTTTTGCCTTGGTGCATCCAGCATTAAAAAATATTTTTAGATGCTGGGCGCATTGAAAAAAATACTTTAAAGTACTGAACAAAAAATATTTTGAGGTGTTGGACACATTTAAAAAAAAACTTCAAGGTACTAAATGCATCACAAAATATTTTAGGATACCGGATGTACCTAAAAAATAGTCCAAGGAGCTGGGTGTACCTTAACCCTTTTTGAAAATTAATGAGTAAATTTTAACCTTTAACGTACGTACGAAGAATAAGCAATGATTGCATATTATTAAATGATTTTCATGAAGATATTTGAGAAACAAAGTTGGGGAGAAGGGCAAAAAGCAAAAATACGAATGAAAACTTACTGTGTTCCCACAATCTTACTCGTACTTTCTTCGTTTTGATCGATAGCATTAGCATACATCTTTGCTATGCCAAAATCTGATATCTTGGGATTCATATTGTTATCAAATAAAATATTACTGAGTTTCAAGTCACGATGGATAATTTTGAATCGTGAATGTTCATGTAAATATGAAAGTCCTTGGGCAATTCCTCTAATAATTTTGCACCGTTCAAACCAAGTTGACATTTTTTGCTCTTGTTGTGAACCTGCAAAATCAACGAAGAGTTAATACTTTGGATGGCCAAATTAGACCTTTTTAACATGATAACATGTCAAAAAAATTGAAGGAGGTCCGAACGATATGAATCAATATGAGTTGGATTATAATTTTAACCAGACAAAACCTTGAGATAAATTCCCTTTTTGTTGACAACATAAGAAATATATTCTATTTTCAAATTTTTGTTTGTGGTTAAACAAACCGGTTTTTTCTTTTTAAGTTTTTGAATAATTAGCCATTATTACCATCTCAGTTCATAATTTTATATATAAAAGATAAACGAGCGAACTCTAACAAGATAACTTGTAATAATCCATCTAACAAACAACATATATATAATTAGGTTAGAAGTCTATACCGAATAGAAAGCAATCGATGCTCTTGTTGGGCACATATTCATAGATAAGTATCTTCTCTTGATTTTCCAAGCAAAATCCAATCAAAGCCACTAAATTCCTGTGCTGAAGTTTGGATATTAGTAAAACTTCATTTTTGAATTCTAGTGCACCTTGTTGAGAACCCTTAGAGAGTCTCTTGAGTGCAACTTCTTGCCCATTAGGAAGAATACCCTGCACAGATAAAATCCAACGGTAATATAAAAATATACCACACATATATATAATATTGTGTGTGTTTTACTGATACCTTGTAAACTTCTCCAAATCCTCCCTTTCCTATTTTATTGGCCTGAGAAAACTTATTCGTTGCAGCTTCAGCTGCAGACAAACTAAATCGCATGGATTTCAAGCTGGAACTTTCTTCTCCAACTGATCAATGCATAGATTTTCAAAGTGAGCTTTCTGAAACCGAGATAATAATTTGAAATGAGAATTGGTGATTGAAATTTGTTTTTCCCTCATTACAGTTTCGTTTGAGCATATCGCTTTTCTTCTTCTTTCTCCATAAGTGATAACAGTACCAAGCAACAAGAAGTAGCTCCATGCACTAACGCTCAAAACTGATCCTAACCAATCAATTCAAATCAAAGTAAATCAAACCGATCACCGAAATAGATGGATCAATTAATAAAAGAAAAATGACTCAATAATCGATTTTAAGAGTGCGATAACCAACTAGTTTGGTTCCACTTCTAGTTTACGGTGAATTGGTTTGGTTTAATCTAGAGATCAGGACTTTAAACTAAGAAGAAGGGGGAGGAGGAGGTGGTGGTGGAGGAGAATCTGGTTGCGACAGAAAAAGAGTGTGTGGAAGAGACAAGGAAGGTTTTAAATTTTCTTGAGTTACCAGGTGGTATGAGGAAGCACTTTTCAGCAATGAGAGATTATTTATATTGCTCAGACAAAAACTTATCTGCCACGGCACTTGAATTAAATCGACTTTTACCGCAACAAAAATTAAGTGCGAAGCTTTAAGGAACCGCATCTTCATGTGGACTTTGAAATTATATCCGTAATGGACTTTGTAATATTGAGAGATAATATAATTTATTTAACAGAATTCGTTTCAATGGAATGGTTTTAGTTATTAAAAAGAGGTTCTCACAGTACGTAGCATTACCTATTTTAATCAACAAATGGTTATGATCCGAGGAAGACTAACTACTAGTCTATTACTAGAACGTATATTTAATAAATGCTTTGCTCAGATTTTGTTTGACCCATGGAATTGCAGCCACGTTCAGTAACTCTGAAAGCGATGTGGGACAAGGGAGGCCGAGATCAGAAGGATAGATTAAAAAAATGTATCATAGATTTTTAACGCCATAACACATTCACATATGATTTTAGTTTTCACAGGTTTTTTGGGTAAGCTAGTCTTCACAGTTTGTACAAGTGTTTCTTTTTTTCAAAGAATCGGTTGGTGATCTTCTATTTTTTTTTTTTAAAAAAAGAAAATAGTAGCACAACAATTCAAAAGTTTGTAAAATTTTGTAAGGTCTATGAGTGAAAGTAATTGAAGCCGCAAAGTTTCTCCATGTCTAATGAGTTTAAAACTGATCCAAAAACCAATCAATTTTCACTATATTAAACTAAACCAATCAAATAGATCAAAATTAATACAAAAAACAATGAGTTTGAATTGTATTTTCAGAATGTAAGGACCTTTAATTCCCTTTATTTTAAATCGAACCCGTTCTTTAAACTACACAAATCACAACGTTTTGCCATACTACTCAATATCTCATCTTGCTGCGCCCTATAATACATACCCACTCTGAAAACTATGAACTAAAACATATGAAAAGACGAGAATAAGAAGAAAAAACAGCTCATGAAACCTTGATGGGTAGAAGAGACGAAGAAGCTCATGAACGTTTGGGATTGTTTTCTCCAAGTTTGAGATAACACTTAAATTGCTTTGAGAGGCCACGTGTTATTATGTGGAAGCATTATTTGTAGGCAATCAGTGATTATCCATTGTTCAGAACAAAGTTTGACTTTTCTAGTACGTCACTCATATGGTTCTTTTCTTCTTGACGGAGCCAAAATAAATGTCAAGATCAAACTTTCATCGGCGATGAAAGTAGGTTATTTAATTATCTATATGACTTCACCACCGAGCACTTAGATCAACTGGTAAGGGTTTGTTCCAACTTGACCAAAGGTCATGGGTTTGATCCTTTGGGCATACAGTAGCATAGGTGGTAGGGTAGCCGCCCATATGGGTCTTCAAATTCCCAATCTGGATTAGTTTGGTTTGTAATTCTCTAAGAGGTTGGCTAAGACACCGGGTGAAGTAATTCATTCAAAAAAAATTATCTATATAACTTCTTAACTAATTATAATTTTAAATGAAGGTACATAATTTAAAATTTTTATAAGAATAACTAATTTTCTAATTTTCTTAATTGTCATGACATGAAATACCCAAAGTATATTTACGGGAATCAATCCTTTGATTGTCCTTAAAGAATATAAACTTCGGCAATAAAGCTTAGGGGTGAAAATTATTGTCAGAAAAAAAAAAGCTTAGGGGTAAAAATTAAAATCCATCGGAAACAACAATAGAATTTTGACATACATAGCGATGGTTACTATGCCTCTCCACGTTGCAAAGAGGTTGTTATGTCCACCATATGTTTGATCAAGTCATTTCTGAACATAGAAAGTTAATCGTCCCAAAAAGAGAGATGTAATGTGTGTGTGTGTGTGTGTGTGTGTGGTGGAAGCAAGTGTGTGGTATGAACAGTGCGTGCGTGCGTGTGTGTGTTATTTTTGGGCCCGTTTGGTTGGCTTATTTTGGCTGAAAGTATGAATAAGCTCCCATTCCCTTCTGAAACATGTCCATGGGGTAATAGTAAACGCCTACGAACTGGGCAAGTCCCATGCTGCAGCCACTCCCTTCTGAAACATTATCAGTTTTGTTAGATATGAAACAATAAATTATTGTAAGGAAATACACTCACAATAATCAACTCTGAATCAACGAAAAAGCGAATGCTTTTCACTAAATCCATGACTTTGGGAGAGACGAATCTGTTTTCATCGTGGGAGGTGTTCAGTCTGAGACATTTCATTCAAAGAGAACGGATTAGCCTTCACCAAAGATTGATCCAAAAGTGATTCTGCTGCAATATTTTCACTTTGATTTTGTCTGCCATGCATGAAGAATGCGGGTTCTCTTGGAGATGGCAATTCAGTCGAAAGATTACAGAGATATGAAACAGTTTGAGACATTGTTGGCCTGTCTTCTGGATTTTCTTGAACACACAATAACCCAATTTGCACGCATCTTATTACTTCACTTTGAGAACAAGATTCCATTAGGCATGAGTCCAATACTTGTAATGGTGTTCCCTCATTCCACTGCTTCCAAGCCTGCATTAATTTGCCAAATAATTGGATAGTCAACGGCATGGTCTTCTTCAATTTTTCTCATTCATATTCGTCTATTAGATAGATATGAAAATATGATCAGGTAGAGACAGGAATTAAATTGGACTTCATACTCACATGAGTCAAGAGGTGTGATCACCCTGTCGTGTAAGCTCTTAAATTAATTAACTAAATTAACCCTATATAGTATAGAGGTCAACCTAGGTCGTCTCTCTCTATGAGGAGCTTTGTTAAAATTTTGAAAACCTTTTTAATTAAGAAAAACGTGATGTAGAGAAAGAAGGAGTGGGAAAGAAAATTGATTGATTTGTCTAAAAAAATAAATTGACAAAAATAAAAAGAAAATAACAATAAGTAAAAGGAAGCGAAAGCAACGAAGACTTTACAAGAATGATATACTTCTCGAGGACGTTGACAAGTGGCTATCATGGTTCAAAAGAATGAGGAATTTGTATAAAAACAATTACCAAATGAAAAGAAAAAAACCCTAGATAACTTCTAAGTCGTGATTAATTAATTAATAATTATACTTAGAGAGCTAGCATATAATCATCTTTCAACTAATCATTTAAAAACCACTTAGCTTGTGAATTTTATTAAACAATTATATCTTATTCCTTAAAGTGAGTTATCTATCGAAAACCCTAGAGTATGAACCACTTGTGCAAATCAAAATAGAAATCCATAAAGATAAATACTCATAGAATCATGAGGAAAATGAAAATATATTCATTGAAAACTTCAAAACATAATTGTTCAATTGAAACACAAATCAAATATCATCCCACAAAAGAAATCAAAATCCTAATCTAGGAAATTCATAAAAGCAATGTACTAGTGGATTGAAATATGAAAACTAACAAACTTCCTCATAAAACAGAAACCCAAGCCACGTCATCTTGTCCTCAAGAACAAAGAGGACTAGCCACACATATGGCTAGATGACACCATAATGATAAAAAGAAAATAATAAAAAGACAGTATTAGACACAAGAGGAAGCCAAGTGTATGCTTGTGCTTGTGTAGTGTAGATGGCTTCATTGCTTCTCCAAGGCTCCTTTGATCTCCTTTTATAGCTCTTGAATCTGTCATAGTTAGATGAGAAAACCCTTGAGTCTTCTAGCTTTATCTTTTATCTTCTTTTATCTTGTAATCTTGATAGAACTTTAAATTTGAATTCTCTTAATTTGGTGTAATCTTCATGGCAACCAAAGTTAAAGGACTTTTGAATTTAAATGATATTGGATAAAACCTAAAATCAAAGCAAAAATACCTTTCAAAAGGGAAATTATAAAAAATATAATAAAAAATACACTTTTAAGCAATTAATTTATATAATTTCTGTAATTCAAAATATGAGTATCTTCTACATTTTAAACCCTTTAAATATTATAAAATCCCTTAATTATATATAAAAATATATTATAAAATAGAGATATATCAAGGTGTGATTTGTAAGACTTGGCATTCCTTTTGCTGCTAATTATCTCCAAGACTATAACTCCAAAACTACATACATCTGATTTCTCTGAAATTTGTCCATACATTAAATATTTTGGAGACATATAACCACTAAATAAAATATTAGTATAATATATATAATAGATATGCAAGAAACAAATATGACTATTGTGGATAAACATATGAAACGATAGGAAAGATCGATCCTCAAGTTATTCTTTAAGATGAAGGAATGTTCACATAAGATATAAAATGCCATCAATTTGTTTCAAATTCAATTGCCTGTAAGTTTAAGATGCAGCTCAAGAGCATGCATGCGACAAATAATGGGTGTAACACTTACTGTGTTCTAACAATTCTATTTGTATTTTTTTGATCTTGATCTATCGCAACCATTCTTGCCATACCAAAATCTGATATTTTTGGATTCGTCTTAGCATCTAATAAAACATTACTAGGTTTAAGATCACAATGAATAACTTTGAGGTAAGAATGTTCATGCAGGTAAAGAAGCCCTGGAGCAATTCCACCAATAATTTTGAATCATTTTAGCCAATTTAATTGTCTTTGGTTTTCAGAGTCTGCACGAAGTTAAATCAAAATGGAGAAAATCAATGAAAACAATTAGTTTAATAATATAAAAATGGCATATGTTAAAATTTTAAATAAAAAAAACGAAAAAGAGGTTAAAGTAGTTGAGACTATACCAAATAAAAAGAAATCAATACTCTTATTAGGAACATACTCGTAAACAAGAATTTTCTCTTGTTCTTCCAAGCAAAACACCAATGAAGTCACTAGATTTCTGTGTTGGAGTTTGCCTATCAGTAAAACTTCATTCTTAAATTCTAATGCTCCTTGCTTAGAATTTTTGGAGAGTCTTTTAACCGCAATTTCTTGGCCATCACGAAGAATTCCCTAAACATAAGGCCAATTATGAGAAACTAACATAAATCTTTTTGGCCGTCCATAAAGATGGAATTGTTACCTTCAAAACGAAACAACAAACTAGAATACAAGAGATATATAAAATTAATCTACCTTGTGTACATGTCCAAACCCACCTTTACCAATTCTGTTCTGGGGAGAAAAGTTATTCGTTGCAGCTTTAATTGTGGCAAGATTAAATCGCAAGGACTTCAGCTTTGAACTTTCTTTGCCAACTACACCAATATATGAGTACTTAAAACTTTACCAGCATGCCAAAATTCGAACATAATTTTAAATTTATAGGTAAACAAGTATAGATTACAGTTTTGTGTAAGAATAGATTGCTGGCTCCTCCGTAGTTTTCTCGTTAGCAAATAGCAGCTCATCGAACAAAAAAGCGTCACTGAAATAACAATGACAGCAACAATAATCACTGCAATAATTTGTGCTCCAGCATGTCGTTTTCCTGCGTCCATAACAAGAACAGATAATCATTTAGGTGTAATTAAGAGCATATAAGAAGAATGGATTGCTTACCTGAAGGTGCAAGAGGAACAAGCGGAGGCGAGGGATGAACATCTGGTAAATCTGCAGATTCCTTGCTGACATTCTAAAAGTGGTATGTATCATATCTAACGTTACATCCTGCGAGAAAAGTCATTGCACGTGGGCTCTCCTCGCAACAACATTCCTGAAGCTTCCTCGTATCTTCATCACAATCCTCAAGCTGTCGTAAGGCCGTTTCAAAACACTGGCTACATTCTGCCGTCGTCAAGTCCGGCGTGCACTGTGCTAACCCGTACAGCTTCTGCTTGGCCGAGACTGGAACTTCGTGGGTGGCAAATTTCTTATCCGGCAAGTTTGACTTCGCAGCTTTTGCCGTCACATTGCCCAAAAGAACCCACACTGTTTGATTGAAAATGCTCTGGTCAGAGATTTCCGTCTTGTTAAGAGCCCAGTCGCAGCCATCTTCGCCGATTAAGCCATCGAACTTGAAGGATTTGCTGGTGTAACGCAACATGCAGAGATCGTAGTAAGCTATGAACTGGGTACCGTTTGGGCATTGGCGTAATGTTTTGTTGGCTGCGACGGTGACACCGTGTTGACATGTAGAGGGAGTGACGTCGCCACGGTAAAAAATTTGTCGCTGATGGAATTTTCTGTTCCCCAGTCCACAACTGTGGTGGAGAAGTCGTTGTCATGGGCGGCTTTGGAGCTGAGATCGGAGAGGAGGGCTCTCACATTAGCTTCATACGCATCCAATGATTTCTGATCAGTATGAAAATCACATTGGGAGGACAACCACCCGAAATCTGGAACCTGTTCATCAGCCGCGGCAAAGCTAAGTAGTATTAGCATTGGAGAGATGAATACAAGTATAAGGTTTTTGATGGTACCCATGTATCCTTCGCTGCCACTTCCGGTGACCAACTCTGTAGTTTAAGAACTGACATGGGAATTTTAAAATTGAAACAGATAATTGAGACCAAAAAATAAAATTGAAACAGATAATAATTTCATAACCAAGTCGAGTCGGCCACTTGTGATATTTTAGCCTTACTTTAATTTGGACGTTAATCACAGTAAGTAACGTATAAACAAACAAAAAAAATGCACCCCCTTAAAAAGCTTCAGTGGTCAATCCAGTTCGTTGGCCCCAAGAAAAAAAATAAATTAATAATCCCTCCAATTTTAATTATGACACACTTCTAACTATCTTCTCAAAATTACGTAATAGTTAAATCATTAAAATTATTTGCAAATAAAATAATTTTAAAATTTATCTATATTTAAAATTATAGATTTTATGCAAGGTACTCGCTTCTGCTCCATATTGTAAGAAGTGCACTAGAAAGTCTTTTTGATCCATTTTATAAGACGTTTCGATAATTTTAATGAGCATAAAATTTTTTCCCCATATATACCAATATTTAATAATTAATATGGACCAGAGGTAGTACTTCGCATAATATGATTTTGTGTGAGAGTAGAAGTTAATATGTGACATTAGTGTGATTAATAGGGATAGGAGGAAGTATAGTTCCGCTTGGGGACATTTCAATTGACCTCCAAAGAAATGATGATAGACATTGTCTCTGGGCATATCTGTGACACTTGATTAGTTTATTTACTTATGCCTGCAATTTAACTCTTTGTTGATTTCACTAGATATTTAAATATTTAAAAAAACTAATTAATAATCCCCTTTTTTATGCAAATTAATTAACTAGCATATGAGACCATTGTGACTAATAGATAAGATAGGAAGGACGGTAGTTCCACTTTGGGGACATTTCAACTGATCCCCAAGGAAATTATAGACCTTTTCTATAGGCATAATCTGTGACACTTGAGTGATCCTTATTATCTTCTGATGTTATCTCTAGTCTTAAATGTAAGAGTTAGTTATATGTTCTAAATATAAATCATCAATCCATTTTGTTTCCCAAATTTATAATGTATTCTCAAAAGTATTTCTATTGATTGTAAGGTATTTCCACCAAGTGTAGTTCCAATAAATATGATTAATGATTGAATAAAGGTAATTTAGGAAAGTTAACATACATTTATTACAAATAACTAATTTAACTAATTTTCTTAATTTTTCCAAATTAGTTATCTAGCTTTTATATTAAAGATTTTAGTACTACATAAAATGAGTAACTGAACTCTGACAACTTGATTAGTTTATTTATTTAATTATGCCTGCAATTGAACTACGAGCGAGCTCATCATTATTTAATTTTCTTTGTTAATTTCCCTATACACTTAAATCTTTAATGGCCGGCGAACGTCGATCAATTCAATTACGTTTGACAAATTCAAATTAAACAATCATTTACAATAACAAATTAAAAAATCGAAAGTACTGAAACTTTTTTTTGGGGGGGAGGAGGATCTCTCGAAAATTGAAAACAAAATCGAATTGGCTCTGTTAATGTGAAATTAAACTTGCAATTCTTTTCATGGAACTCTTTTTTTTTTTCGGCGTTAAAAATTGTTGATATAATTTTTGTTTCAAACATTATTTAATTGCTGGTCAAAAAAAATTTAACACATCAAATTTGATATTATTTATACATTCTTAATTATTTATTGTTCATCCTATCAAATTTTGTATAATTCATATATTTTTCTAATAAATCAACTTTTACGTAACAAAAATGGCATATAATAAAAGCCATGTCCTTTTTAGCAATAACATATTTAAAAATATTTTTATTATATATCATTTAAAAAAATTTTAGTTTACCGAATGGATGGTAAAAAGATCTATCCAAACGTTAATACGATAACTAAATTTTAGCAAATAGATGTTTGCCAAAATAACTTTTAACAAGCAATTTTTGGTCAAACTGTAACCCAATCATATTATTAATCTTCTTTTTCTTGTCAGCATGCGTTTCCGTTTGATTGTTGTTGATAACTTGTTATTGCCGTCACTTTCTTGCTGAGTAAGACGTTACTTCATCGATGCAATTATCTTTTCCGGCCAAAAAGCAAAAGGAATCTTGGCTTCTCGAGTAATTTTACAATGAGAAAATTATACATAAATTCCAATGTAAATTAATTTATAGGGAAAATTTCATTCAAGGACCACTGTGGCCAAATAATTTCCATTTGCCCCCAATCAATTTTAAGGCTAAAATGAAATTAACTTATTAGGTGAAAAGATGTTGTTGGCCCATATATATATATATATATATATATATATTTGAAAAAAGGGTCTGAGCTAGTCAATCACTCAAAGTGAGTCGAAAACCTAAATCGCTCACTCCCTCCTCTTCGTGTATCTCAGACTGCAGTTTTCCCACACGTTCACTATCCGGGTTTAGACTGGGATAATTTGTAAAGATACCATAACGATCGCCATTAGAAGGATATGAAGTATTGAATGAATAAACATTCTGTTGTCATCATCGTCCCCGTCATGGTCGTTGTGCTCCTGATTCTCAATCTTCAATCGCTGTGGTCCCCATGTTCTTTCACCGTCGCTGTCATTCACTTCTCGCTCGTTTAGCTCGCAAAGTTGTTTCTGGTAGGCTCTCCCTCCCACTCACTCTCCATTCTGTCTCAACTAGCATTCCCTCCATGTCTTTGCTGTAATATGGGTTCTTATGCACTTGAACCAAGTTTGCGCGATTTTCTCCCCTCTTTTTTTGAGCTATCAAGGTGATTTAGCTTGAGCATTAATTAGAAGGCTAATAGGATGCTGCGCGTATGGCTTTCAAGGGTGTGATAGGTTGCAATACAACAAGGGATAGGACTTTCTGATTAGATGCTTCAATGGCAAACATTCACTTATTGTCGAAGAAGAAAAAACAAGGATAAAATATAAGTGAACCTTATTAATAGTGGCATTTATAGTGGATTTTAGGAGATTGCTAGTTGTTTAGTATGCTTAGTGTCCATAGCATAATTGTTTTGTGTTCTAGAATTTTTGCCACGGACCGACATAGGATGGTAACTTTGCTACAACCTCTTTGATTGTCTGATCTTGTAGATATATGTCCCTCTATCTCTCACTATGTAGCAGGGCTAGGTACTGGTGGTACAATAACTGGTTCTGAGAAATTTCTTAAAGGACAAAATCCGAACATTAAGGCCAGTTTATTTGTTTGATGTTCTTAACTGAATGTCAGTACATTCATTTATTAGAAAATGGAGGATAATTTGTCATAGTTGTGACTGTGTAATGCATTATTTTTATTACTCAACTATACGACTGGAATTATATATTAATGAGCTTAGGCATTATTTTTATTGCATGTTTCACATGCAACTTGGCTTATCATGGGACTTATTATTGTGATGTAGGAACATCTTACTGCATCGATATTTGTTAGTGATTATAGTCGCTATTATGCTATTATCAGTGTCGTTTTGTGCTTTCAGTAGTTTTTGGTTTTCATGAGTATTGTTGGTGCACATCTCTAGTATTAACGATTGAAGTAAAAGAAATTAACAAGTACCCTTGCTCGTGTGACAAGTGAAGTTACGAAATTTACACAAAAAATTAATTGTATTTACAAGTTCATTGTAGCAATTTTATGTTTACTAGTGTAACAAGTGAAGTTAGATAATTTACAACAATAATTATTGCATTTACAAGGTAATGGTAGCAAATTTATGTTTATTGGTGTAACAACCGAAGTTAGAAAATTTAATTACAACAAAAATTAGTGCATTTACAAGTTGATTATAGTAATTTCATATTTATTGGTGGAAAAACTGAAGTTATACCTTATTTTGCGTTTTTAATATTCTACACATATGAAGCTAACCATGATACTTATTGTTGTTAATTATGCTATAGGATTGGGAACAACTCACTTCATTGAGATCGAAGCTTTTGTGGGGGTTTGTTACTCACAAATATAATTCAAAGACGGATGTTGTTGCAAAACTAACTTGAACAAATGAAAACACAGTGAAAAAGAAAGCGTTGACTTAAAAATTCATTTACTTCAATTGAAAATCTAGTTTAAGCTAAGTCCAACATGTAAAAATTTGTATTAAGACATTTTGGTTTGGAGTACTTTGTTATTTATTTTGGTGACATGAAGTACTTTGTGTACAGGGAATTTTTGAAATCTCAATTTTATAGAATCATTAGTTGTGATTTTGGAAATTAGGAACTTGTGAAACAATTATTCAGACCCATCAATAAATGCATGCCACCAACAATTAGATTAAGCAAATTTACAACAAAAATAAGTGACTTTCACAACTAAACTATTGCACTCACAATTAAACTAAGCACGTTCACGATTGAAGTACATAAATTTACAACAAATGTAAAGTGATTGATAACCTCTCAAAATTTCTACTTATTCAACTTGTTTTAGTGCTCTTTTATTTGTTTTGCAAGTCAACTTTGCAGGAAAAAGTCTGAAGCAAGTAAGGAAGAGAGATCAAAAGTAGAGAGCTTAAAAAAGGACAAACCACTGCGGCACATGAAGCCAAACGCCACAGAGGCTCAGACAGAAAGCAAGGGAAGCAATTCTGTGTAAGGCACCA